CGATCCCCCCCCACCCCCAACCCTCCTCTGCTCCTTCACTCCTGCTCCTCCTCCTCTGGGTCTTTGCCACGCTCCACTGACCTCAGGATCCTAATCAAACTCTTCACAGATGTCACTCATATATTACTGTGTTTATGGGACGTGGGCAATGTGGGAAAAAAAACATTTGACGTCAGCTGTGACCTGGAGGGTTACGAATTTTTACGGAGCGCAGTTAGGGGATTTATTTGGTCATTTTTTAGGCATTTTTAATGTCTGTACTTAAAACAATCTGTTGTTTGAATGACATAAGAGTTAAAATAACTTTTTGGAAAATCATAGTACAGCCTGAAATACTCATAATGGAATACTGCAGTGTGGATGTTTAGATGTGACTCGTTGTTTTTGTTTCAGGCGATGACAAAAGAAATGACACTTCAGCCTCCAGGCATCAAACAGTTCTTGCTGACCCTCTGCAGTCCTCGGACCCAGAAGAACCCTGCCCCCTTGGAGGCCAGGATGATGGAGAATCTACGGTCACCCCGGATCAGACCCCTTCCATGCACAAGCGTCGGCGCTCGGACCAAGGCTGTGCCAAACCGCGACGGGCCAGGACGGCCTTCACGTATGAACAACTGGTGGCTCTGGAGAACAAATTCCGGGCAACTCGGTACCTGTCTGTGTGTGAGAGACTAAACTTGGCCCTGTCCCTGAGTCTGACCGAGACCCAGGTGAAAATCTGGTTCCAGAACAGAAGGACCAAGTGGAAAAAACAGAACCCCGGGGCGGACAGTACACTGCAGCCCGGGTCCAAATCCCTTGTCAGTGTCAGTCCGAATCCGACCACGTGTGGGTCGAGCCCTGCCGGCTTTCACCAAACTTTCCCAAACTTCAGCCCTGGAAATGTGATCTTCCACACAGCCGGTGCTGTTCCACTTACATCCACTGGGGGGCTCCTGCACCCCTTCATGTCCAATGGGTTCGTGCAGCCCACTTATTTTAACCCACATCTATGAAAGAAGCCACAGCTTTGGACCATGACAAAAACGACTTTGACCTCATGCATCATACAAGGAGAAAATGCAAACGTTTGAACTAAACGAAAACGAGAAAATGCAAACGTTTGAACTAAACGAATACGATTCGACTGTTCGACTGTATAAAAACGAATACAGCTAATTCTTGCAATCACCTGCTTCAATGTAATCAAACCCAGATGTTCACCACTCTGTACTGATCGTGTGTCATCATCCTATAACGTGTCACTCTGTCTTGAAGGTTTTACATTTGTTGCCATAACATGCAAACGTATAATTGTAACTTAATAAAAATTTAATTGAAACATTTCTAATATTCCTTGTTGTGTAATTTATTTTGCTAAACTAACTCATTGACTATCAATAAATGATCGATTTTTTTACTTAAAAATAGTGTAACTAACTTTTCATGGATGTAAATTAAATATAAAATATATGTAGTAATAATATATAGCAATGAAATGTTATAACCACAAATCTTCATTTGATAGGTTTCATTTAATCGCCATCGTCCATACCTGCATTTACAAACTACAGCCACAGTGCGGCACTGTTGTATTCTAGTTTTTACACTACACGCAAAACCCTACAGGCTGAAAACTGGACTCCACGACACTTCCTTAATTCTCTTATCAAAATAACATATTAAAATATAAATTTACATTTAAAATGTGCCCTTTATTTCAGATAGTTAATCACAAAATGTATTTTTTTTACGTTTGATGCAAACGTTTTTAAAATAAAGCATAGTGCAAAAGTAAAATGTAAATAATGCAGAAGTATGTTTTATTTAAAATTAAATTAAATGTTTTTTTTTGCAAAAATGTCTAGCTACATATTTGTAATAATAGTAATAATAATAATACATTGCTTTTACTAAAATACAAAATAGAAATTTCCTGTCAGGAAGATGTTTTGTTTTTAAAGAAGTCATTTGTCATCAGTCCGGTTCTCTTTAGTAGAGAAGCCAAACAACTGTGGAGGGAAATGGAAAAGAAAACAAACTCTGTTTTCTGTCACACAGCAAGGCTGAAATCATTAGAGAAGTAAAGTGAAATGTCTGAGGCCGTCATCATCTTCACTCTGAGTGAAACTTTAAAAAGCAAGATGGTTTCTGTGTGACAGTTAAAGGAGCCGTTCCTTTGGAAAGCGACGCTGCTGCGTGAAGATAACGTCTCATTAGAATAAACCGCCTCTCATCTTGTCCGTGGGAGTCTGACTGTGGCTTATTCCTGTTAAATGGATCGGAATTGATTCACATCTCTCAGCTACAAATGCTGTTCGTGTAAATGTAGCGGAAACTCAGGTTATTTTAGCGTCTGATGTTGAGCTAGGCTGCCCTCTAATGGACGCCTGGTGTCTGTGCATCTGTGCAAACGGCCAAAACAGTTGATACAAATCAACTTGGATTTATCCCTAAAATAAACTGTAGTTTTCTATTGAATTAAACGAAACGCAGAGATGAACGTGTTTTTACGTCAGAGTGTTTTTGTATTTGTTTGTTGAGACAATTTGAGATGCAAACATCATGTAGCTTAGGCAGTTGTGCTATTTATACCACAGCCTAACTGACTCACACACTTTTTTTTTTGAACGAGATCAGCGATCAGCTGTTTTTATACTGCCAATCAGGTCACAGCTGCAGAGTGACAGTGGCGTGCAGAGTTGAAGATTACATTTTCTTCGCCGTGTGTTTGTCTTGATGTTTCAGTAATGAGACTTCACCTCTGCTGATCGTTTTAGGGTCTCACACCTCAAGGTTTATACCCACCTGCAGCTTCTATGTGGGGGCAGCAACGATCAAACAGATAGAAGTCAAACACATGAAAGGTGTCAGAACACAGGAGTTTGTGCTTCCAGCTCGGAGTGTTCCTGTAACTAAGGAAAACCTGCCTGAGAGGGACTGTACTGCTGTTTCTAACTAGTGGTGTTTATTTTTTAACACTGATGCTGACAATTTTCTATCTAATCTAATCTAATTTGATTGTAATAAATCTGATGTTCAGATTTAATATGACCTAATTTAATCCAGTATCATCTAGTCTAACCTTGTTTAATCTAATCTCTTACACTGAATTCGCTTTGCTCCAATATGATGTAATGTAATCACATTTAGTGTGTCTGAATCAAAATGTAGTGAATCTAGTCTAACAAAAATTACTGTCATTTAATACGACAATTGTATTTGCAAACTTCAACCTTTTTTTTATTTAGATTAACATAGTAGAGAATTAAGGATTAATGGTGTGATAATCTCAGATCACTGAGTGTTATAATGTCGAAGGTGTCAGTGCAGCAGTGCTGCGCTTCACTGACCATCAGTGAGTCAAACACTTCCTACAGTTATGTTGTTTCCACCGAGTTCCACGTAATCGCAGTCAGATTACGGCTATTGTCCGTCTGTCGCCATCTGTCAGATCGATGGGAGAAAATCAACAATTAGAGATTAGAGGCCAGCTCGTCCTGTTGAGCTGTGTGATTATGTGCATTTACAATGTGATTGGTCTCCTGGATGTTAATGCCGTGTCGTGAGCTGAGACACTGGAGCGCCGGTTGGACTGATTGTCCTCTTCACACTGCATCGACGGATCATTCCCTCAGAGCTGAAGAAATCCCATTCGCTCTCTTTGGACATTCCTACATTTTGTTAAAGGCGATGGATTTGCACAGACCTGTGTGATTGTGTTTGTGCTATTTTTAGAGTCAAGGTGATCAGTGCTGATGCCGTTTACATCATCCTTTTTTTTTTTCAACTAACCCTACCTTAGAGCTGATAAGGGGAAGTGTCATCCTCGTCATCCTCGTCATCTAATGTCCATTTAATAACGGTCTAATCCATAATGGGGCCATTAGAGATTCCCAAATGACCTCTGAGAGCCTCTTCATCAGGTGATTTATTTTAACCACGTTGAACACTGGCAGACTTCAACTCTCACCTGTAGGTTCAAAGATGACTTGCATTTATATTATTATTTAGTACTTTCCCCCTTTAAGACTTTGGTTCTAGAATGTTGATCCTGACGACAGGGATGCAATTTCATACTTTTGTCATCTGATCTGTTTAATTCAACGCATCTGTAACCTGTAGTTCAGGTGGACGTTTTTTGTGTTTTTCCCCTTCCTAGAACCTTAGAACTTTTAGAATGGTAGGACCACAAAAAGTTACTCTGAGGGCCAGGTGTGTTCCCAGGCCCCTTATGTTGCCCAGAGAGCTGGATTGTGGCAAGGGTCACTAGGCAGTTGCTGAGAGCGCCATCTGGATCTGCAACCTCTTATTTAAAATTAAATTAAATTAAATTAAGCTGTCGTTAAAACACTACTTTAAAGAGTTAACTAATGACCACACCTTTATTTCCTTTAGTTTTATTCAAACAGTTGTCTTAATCAAAGGTCATCAAAGGTCACCGGAGCCTGCAGGTCCATCTAGTCTCTGTGGTGGTGGGTCTTTATTCAGGTGTAACTACCATGGCTGTTAAAGTGTCTCTATTGTCTCCAGATCCTTTCACTGCTCAGGTCTGAACTAATGACCAGATGGATTTTTCTTCCTCAGCCTCAGACTCTTATCAGACGGAGACAATCATTGTGTGGTTTGGTTTGATTTCCAGTCTCTCTCCATTGCTGTTTTTTACTTATCTTTTTAACAGATGTTTCGTGACATTTTATTTTCTTATTTTTTCTCTGTTGGAGGAAACGTGTTGACAGGCGCAAGAGTGGGAAAAACTTGTGATAAAACTATAAACTCCACCTCCTCAAACCCATCACCACCTAAATTGTTGTCTCCACTTTTTCATCTTTACATTCGACTCAGCCTCAAAATAGGACAAGTCGCCGTGTCAGATTAGATGTCCTACCTTTTTGATCTCAATTATTGAGGTTGAGTGGTTTCGTAGATGCACCGACGGTCAGAAGACAGAAGACAGTCACTCACTCTCAGACCTTTTGCCAACACCGACAGCAGGTTAATGAAAACTGTGGAATAACCTGTCAGATGGGTTTCAGGAAATCTGATCAGAGCCAGCGGTTGGTCTCAGGTTCAGCAACATGACAGTGAACTCTAATGTGATCAGAAACAATGTCTAATACAAAGGACAGAAGCACAGTTTTGGCTGTTTTATATGCATACATTAATTCAATTTAAATACAACCAATGCTCACAATAGTTGTCAAGGTGACAATTATTAGAGGACTAAAGTAAAAAAAAAATTTGTTTTAGTAGAAGTTATGCTACAGTTTTAATCCTAATTTGTAAATTTAGCTGAAACCTATTTAATTGGCTGGATTTTCTTTTCCAAGTTCAGCTTGAGCCTTACTGCCCCACGCCCCTTATATTAGATGTATTGAAATATTATGTTTGTTAAACACACTCCCATTTTAATATATATTACTAATAGAGACCTGAACCTTGTATTGAGTGGCAACAGTATTTTTTTTTCCGAAAAGTTGTGACTGACTTCTGGACTGAACGGACCCGACAATGTGAACGCACAGAGAAACAACAAAGAGAGCATTCCTGGACAGAAATAGATGGTCGTTTTATTACTGCTGTGAGCGGCGCTGCTGGTTTGATGAAGTGTATTGGGAATACCATGACATTTGGATCCCGTGTTCCCATGATTCATATGTCAGCACAACCAGTTCCTCTGGCAGAATGATGGACCAGAGAGCGAGGCTGCTGAACGATGATGATAGAAGGATGATAATATTAATGAGACGGAACAGGAAGACAACAGTGTTCAACCACACTGGCAGTGTGATTCTACAGACAACAGACACGTTTGCAGTAAAACATATTGGGTTTTTTTTTTCCTCTTCTGTTGGAATAAAAGGGCTCCCCCGTGGGTGTAGAGTGGAGGGGAGGAGGAGAGCTGGGGTCTCAGTGGTGCAAACTAATTCATTCAATATTTTCTTTCTTTTCTGCCACAGGGAACTCTGACACTGACTTGTAATTTTTATTTCCTTTGTTCAATAGCAGTTTTGCAGCAAGTGAAAGTGTTTTAAATGAAGTTCACTGGAGTTTTGAAGCGACTGCAGTGAATGTGTCTCTGCAATAATAACATTATTGTAATACAAACTTCAAACTAAATCAAAATTGATTTTTATTTACCTCAAAATACTCTCTCACTCAGTGGGAGGAGGGAGGAGGGAGGAGGGGGTCCAAAATTACATTTATATTCACACAGTGACATTTGTACTTTCAGTGGAGGGTGAATGGGGTGAATAGGAGTCTAACTAATAATACATCTGTATTTAAAATGACCTCAATTCTCATCATCCACATATTTTATTACTTTGGGAAAAAGACCAGGGAATGTCTACGTGAGGTACCCACAGAGCACAAAAACCTGACTCTGTGTGTGTGTGTGTGTGTGTGTGTGTGTGCAGTTGGCACACACCACCTCTGCCTTCTCCCTCTGCTTTCATGTGCTTCCTACATTCTGTGTCTTAATCACACGGTCTGTGTGCGCTGCTGTTCAGCATGTCAGGCCCGTGTCTGCCTCTCACCCACTCACTGATTCTCCCCTGGAGATGAGGATGTGCCCACCCCCAGACGGGGGATCCTTCCATACTTCCTCTACACTTTTCCACTAATTGGCCTTGGTTGTACAGCTGTAAATACAGTGTTTGGGCAAATTGGCCTCACAAATAATTGTTGTAATAGAAAGGACGGTGGATGCAAGAAAAAAGAAAAAAGTTCTGTTTTCTGTTTTTAAGCAGTAACAGAGGGGAGTCAAAGGGAGTGAACAGGAAGCTACGGCTGATTATAAATAAACGGGGGGAGGTTGGTGGGAGCATATTTCTGATTTACCCCAACCGTTAAATATAGGCACAGTTCTCATAGTTTCTTCTGGTTAGAACTTTTCTCTTTTTCGTCTTTGTCTTCAACACTCCTCTCGGCAGATCCACAATAATAGAAGAGCCTTAAACGCTCCGTTTCAGAAGGTCTTTGTGCTGCTGCCACATCTCCAGCTGAAGCAGTGGGTGGAACGCTGCTTAAATTATTTTTGAAAAATTAACTACTCCCCCCTTCATCTGTTTAATCACCCTGGATGAAGTGAAGGTGTGAGATCAGAAGAGAGAGAGACAAAGAGAGAGAGAGAGAGAGAGAGAGTGCTACTGAACAATAAAGAAATTGTTTTAACTTTGCATCGACTGTAAAACAAAAAAAAAAAAAAGACTGAACCAAAGGCAGAGGAGCAGCATCTTGTGAGATTTTGAAATAGCTAAAACGTGTATTGCATCGACTGTAAAACAAAAAAAAAATAGACTGAACCAAAGGCAGAGGCTAAAACGTGCGACATTTATTTAAATACACTCACATACACTGTTTTTTTTAGTTTGTTTGTTTTTTTTTTAGCAAAAACAGACAAAAATAAATACCTGATTTAGTCGTTTACAGTCTACACGTTCACAGTACAACAGCTGGGATCATCGGAGAACATTTGTGTTTTGTTCCAGGGGTCACACAGCCGTACATGAGATAGAACGGTTCTAGAAAAATAATGAACTGGCACCACACACTGACACCATCAGCCCTGACCACAAACACTGAACACCGAGTGTCGCACATATGACCGCACCTGCTGTGTTAAATACAAGGACTTTTGATTGTTTTTTTTTTTTGTGAAGGTTTTCTCATTTTTTTATATAGCGCTGCTGTAGAAAACGTGTTCATAAATATGCACAGAGGTTTGTTTGTTAAACCTCCTGTGATTGTTGATGAAAACGTCCTTAGTCTCTTTGTCCAGCTGAGTGTTTGAGATGTTTGGTTTGGTTTTGTCTCCGGTGGTTGTTGTCCTTTCATTTTCCTGTGTGTTTTCATTTCTCTGGCTGCAAAAGATAAAAATAGGTACACATAAAAAAAACCCGTTCCTTTCTGATGCCAAAGGTCAAAGTTAGGGACCAACTTGTGTTATTGTAAATCAACCCAGACTTGGAAGATTTATGATCGCTGCACATCACTGGCATCAACGTGTAAAAGTTGATGATTTTTATTATGTTTACGGAGTCAAGTCTCTTAACCTCTAACTGAACCAAACCACAGATGACGTAGTGAAATAAAAACATCACTTTTTACTTTCGCTTCTAAAATCAATTTGCTATTCATTTGTTATTCATCTCTACTGTAGATTTTTGTTTCATTGCATTTTTTGGTGTTTATCTTCTACATATTTTCCCATGATCCCTGTTTTCATCTTCTGTTCAGTTGCAGCTTTGGGAACATTTTATCTACTATTTTATCTTTGAACTATTTCTGTCATTTTTTTCTCAGTAGGATCCAAGTGCAGACAGACAGACTGAGATTTTGTAAAAACCAGTGGTTTGTTAAACAAGGTTTTCTTCACAGTATTAACAGTTTTCAGCCGTACCTGCCTGAAAACGTCGTCAAACCCAAGACGCTGCTGCTGCGTAAAATGATTCAAATTCTCTCCAAAAGCGACCACCTTTACTTGACGGTCGGCTTGTTGTCGGTTGGTGTCTGTCTGTTGTCGGTTGTGTTGACGTTATTGTCCCTCCTCGCTGCGTTGGTCTCCATTCCCAGGGAGGAGTTTAGAGGATTTCTTTTGAGGATCTTGTTAGCCAGCAGGCTGCAGGTCTTTGTGTACTGGTAGCGCAGCAGTGAGTAGACAAATGGGTCACTGGCTGCCTTGCTGTAGGCCAAACATTTGGACAGGACACCCCAGTGAGGGTTGATGAGCCCTGGGCAGAAAAGTTCTACAATTCTGCTTCAAATAGAGCACAGAGAGAAAAGAGAGAAAAGAGAAACTGTTACCAATGAATCGACTGCTGCAGAGTCAGATCAGGGTGGTTTTCGTCGAACACTTTTTGTGCCTGCTGCTTACAGGTCAAGTCATGAGACGTTTATTTTTATAGCCCAATTTCATGAGACACATTTGTCTCAATGGACTTTTACATTGTTAAAATTAGAATTAATATTGCTACAACTTTTTCATGTCCGATATTTATACCAATAATGCAGTATTTGCCGATACCGATTGTGAGTATAATATCAAACCATCTCTGGTTAATTTTATTTATAATAATATATTAACAATACAAAATAAAGCAGAATAAGTTCGGTGAGAACGTGACTGAGAACGTGAAGCTCCTGACAGAGCAGCGCCGTCACCTCTGCGTCTCATACTAATGAGAGCATGTGCTGTGTTCGCTGACTTGTGATTTGATTCCGTCTCCCTCTCAGAAATCACTCTGTCAATGTCGTCAATGTCTGTGTGATGTGTTCAAGGACTATAAATCATACATTTCCTTTCAATTTAGCATGAATTAAGAGAATCACTTTGCGGTCCAAAGACAAAGACCTTGATGAATGTGTTTGATTAGACGAGGAAGATTCTCTTCCACTTCCTGCACACGATCTGCAAATGCACACAGACACGCGTGTGCTGGTGCATGCTAATGCTAATTCTCCGCTCACCTTGTGATGACATAAGGGCTGAAGCACACCACGAAGGTGCCGATGAATGTGCTGATCTTCTTGGTGGCCCTCTGCCTCCTACGCCTCTGCTCGTCCAAGCATCTCTGGCGCACACTGCCATTACACACACACACACACACACACACACACACACAGCAGCATTATCTACCAAGCAGGCATGATTAGAGACATGCAGCAGACACCAAAAAAAAATCATCCACACTTCCAGGGTATCAGCTGTACGGTAAATAGACACAGATGAAGGAAGAAAGACCTAAAGAGTAGGGAAAAAAATTGTCTGTAGCCGAACTGTTTTCCACTGTAACCAGATTACGTAGTGTAAACCTCTCATGCACATTCAGCAGAGGGTTTCCACCTCCACCTTCACACCAGGCTTCCGTGTCCATAACAAGGATCTGTGCAAATGATCCTGCGTAGCTTGAGAAAGGAGTCATAGTTCTGGTATGAACTGTGTTCTGGTTGATAAAACTGAAGAAACACACACACATAGATCTTCTACAACAGCTCTGACTCGCTCTCTCGTTTAAACAAAAACAACTCTATGCCTTGTGGGAAATGGGAACAAGGCTGAATTAGCAATAAATAGCCCGAAATTATTTGCAATAAAATAAAAACAGTGCCAATAAATAATAATAGTAATAATGCTAATGATAGTTTACTGATCAATTAAGTTAAATTTGTAATAATAATAATAATAAAGTGTAATAATCTTCCACTCTCCCATGGCACACTAATGTGCTGCGGCTCAGTGGTTGAGAATCACTGCAGTAAAGTTATATACCTGATGAAAAAAAAAAAATATTTATCTGGTTCTGTTACTATTATGGAATGATTCTTGCATCAACTATAGTGTTAGGATATAGTTTTTAAAAAAAGAACTAGTTTACTGGTTTACCTGGGGTGAATGTCCACCAGCAGCACCAACGTCTGCATGGTGATCACGTCGATGCGTTTACAGTGAGACCGTGCAACTCTGAGCACTTTGAGGTAAGTGACGCACAGCACGACCAGAGTCAGGAGGAAGGTGAGGGAGTGCAAAGCCAAGGTGAAGATGAAGAACTGTGTCCCTGCTCCGCGCGCCTTCACGTTGCACAGGGTGCACGACGCGTAAAGCTGATGGAAGCCCACCCAGGGCTGCCAGGAGGCGACCACGGAGAAGCACAGCGAGTGCGTCCACGTGTAGCAAAGAGCCATCACTGCGTCCCGGTGCCGCATCCTGGAGTGGTAGCTGAGTGGGAAGACCACCGCCAGCCACCTGTCGATGCTGAGAGCCGCCATGCTCAACATGGCATTCGTGGTGAGGAAAGTGTCGAGGAAACCCACCACCTGACAGAGCCCGCGGCCACCGGGGTGGCCCCCGGTGACGAGTCCGATCAGGGTGAGTGGCATGTTGGACACGCTCAGCAACAAGTTGCAAAACGTCAGGTTGAGAGTGAAGAGCGCCGGTACCTGCCTGCGAATCTGCGGGTTGTAGAGAAAGCAGATCAGCACCACGGTGTTGGACAGCAGCGACACGACGATGGTCCCCAGAACCAGCACAGAGGCAGCGATGTCCACCGCGTCCATGGCGCTCCCTGTCAAACACCCAGGCTTTTGTTGATGGCATATGTGAGCGTCAGCCTCTGCAGATGTGATTCCAACAACATAAAGTCCATGTTCTGGACCACAGGCTCAGACACCGAATGTACCGCGCAGTTCTCTCCACAGGATCTGGTCACCTGGAGTTAGCCTGGGAATTCGGGTATTTCCTGAGTAGGAATTGGTTCACAGCGGGAGCTCTCGTCTCATTTGAGTCTCTGGTACTTTCCGCTTCTCTAATCGAGCCATCCATGCCTCTGCTGCCTCATCTCAGTGTTCCTACTGCTGCGCAATTGCGCGTTGAAGTCGTGGTCAGGACTGGAGAGGAGATATTAAGAAGTACCTTTTCTTCTTCTTCTTTCTTCTTCTTCACAGCAGTATCCTCTCCCTACTTCTCTTCTCTTTTCCCAGAATCAGAAGTGTGACACTCGGGTTCAACCGCATCCTATCTGGTGTAAAAATAGAAACACGACGCACGTCCTACGTTGCTGGTGGCACGGCTGATGTCATGAGCGTCACGTTTAACACAACCGTGTTAGTAATGAGAGGTTTGGCTGAAATGACCCGTAATTATTCATTCAATCATTCATATAATTACTATCATTTTCATGTCGGTGTCAGATCAAAGAAGTTACGTCACCGTCACCTCTTCCTTATAAATTCTCAGCAGCGCTGAGCAGTTTTGTTCAGGTGCCATGAGTCGTGGAGCCAAAGCCTAATCAGGGCAGTATTATATAGTATAGTATTGTATAGAGATTTATGTGGTGGTTTGAATGGAAGATGATGAGACCATTGTATCCATGTGAACCAATGGGGGGACGAATCAGGGCCGGGGGCCAAGTTTGGCCCTTGATAAGCTGCCATGTGGCCCCTATAACATTTAGACACTTCCAGCCTGTAGTCCTTATTAGACTGGGTTTAAAACAACCACCGCAACCGTTACTATGGACTTGGGATTGGGATCATTCAGTGCCCCCACCAGGGGGCGAAGTCTTGTGATGAGTGGTCTGGATGCTTTCTTGAAGAATGTTCCCTGATACTGTGATATTGTGGTCAACGAAGTGTCCAAATAGTCGAGTTCTGCATGTTTTTAAAGGCAGTTATCAAGAAAGGTTCAGCGGTTGTAAAAAGGTTTCAAAAGTATTTCCAAGTATTAGTAGATCCCTGGGAACTACATGGGATTCTGTGTCAAAAAACGCAACACACTGTATACTGGTATATAACATATGTTTCCTTTAGCATTTTGTCTCATTGTGACATTAACAAAGCAGAAAAATATAAGATTAAACTCACAGACTGAGGTTTTTCAGTCAAGGACTTTTTCACGATACTAATGTCGTAGAATCTTCTACTTCCACCTTACTTTTAATTAGCTGTTCAGGCCAAATATGACACATCATTGTAAATCTGAACATTTTAATTAGCATTCCCAATTAACCATCATCACAGGTGGGAGCAAAAGTACTAATTACACAATTAATTTATGACATATTAGATCCATGACAAAAAAAAAATCTAATCTGTATCTGTGATCTGCAGATTTTAATTGAAGATCTCACTCCACTGTCAGGCGTGTACATGGAAATCAGTTCCAACTGTACGGTCACATGTACAGCTGTCCAACCCTCTTATTAATCATCAGTCGTGACAAATAGGAATCAGTGGCTGCCGTGAATTTCTAATTAAACCTGAGAAGTTTTTTCTCACTCATCTCTGTTAACGAAGCGAGAGAACAGATGGTGAAATTACATTGGATTCTTGTGTCAGGTCTCAGCGCAGCCGCTTTAAACTGGAACAAAGTTCAACATCATTTGTCCACAGACTTAATGAGGTGATTCATGGTAGCAAGAGGTTAATGAATTTTACAGTCCTACCAACCTCCGCCCCAGCACACACACAGATATAGATATACACACGAATACACACAGTTATAATTACAAGAAAGTTTTTTATTTTTAAGACTCTTCTTATGTATTCTTACTTTATACACACACATTACACACAAACTAAATGCAGATGTATAAGGTGTATTGAATAGGCAGATATATTATATATTTATTTATATATGGATTTCTTTAACCATGAAATTATACTTTTACTAATTAAAGCTAACCCAATGAAATGGAAAGTTGCTGACATTTCCTGACTGAGTGCTCATTCAATAAAAATATACTTATTCTGTACTTTATCCATATCTTCTTCTATAAATGCTTTCTCGGCTAAGTGAAGCCTGAAACTAAATTAAATTAATCCACTGAGTGTTTTCAGTTTATTGACTGGTCTCAGTTTGGTGTAACGCTCTTTAGAGACTCTCAGCTATAGTTGTCTTTATTTACTGTGTGTGATGACGAGCCACTGTGTTGATCTGCTGCTGTTGCTCCATCATGGCTCACATTCATGGAACGTTCCATGATGTGTTTAACAGTATCATATTTAAATATCTTTTCTGTGAGCTCTCTTTAAGCTTTCTGCTGCTGCAGTGCTTCCCTCTAGTGGTAATGCACGAAAAGTGACACAAGTGTATTTTTATATTATTTAACCTTCATATTAACTTATTATTTATTTTTATTATTTATTTTTCCTTAGTTTTTAATGAAAATAATTATTGATATTGTTGTTGTTGTTATCGTTTTTGTTGTTTTTACTGTCGCCTTGTAATCTACTTAAATGTTGATGTTTTTTAATAATTCCTTTCTATATATATTTTATATATTCTATATATATATTAGTTTTACATAAAATGAAAACTTAAACTTAAACTTAAAAGAATGCGATACTTTATTACGATATTTAACCGCTACACGCGTTAGCCCGCTCGTTTACCAGACAGGAAACAGGAGGGGGGCCCTATTTGCAGACGGACCTCGTAGCTTCGCGGTGGTTGTTTTGTGTTTTTAACCACAAGATGGCACTCGCTTCTCTCTGAACCTACGCTGTGTGTTGTCAGCCGGCTGGTGAAGCTGGTGGAGGTGAGACGATGCAGTGCTGTCTGAGCTGTCAGCGCTCATCAATGTTGTCTCATTAAAATTACGTCAGTAAAATGAACTGCTGCCCCGCCCGGAGGACAAGTCAACAAGTGATCTTTGTTTGTCAGGGCAGCCCTGCAGGTTAAACTGCTGAAACCAGGAACCGTTGTTGTTGTTGTTGTTGTTTTAGTCATGTTTAGTATTGATAGTGATATTTTAAGTATAATAGTAAGTATTTTAGTAATTACAAAATCTGACTGTTTTCCCCAACTAACTAACGTTTACCAGTATTTATCTATGAATTTATTCTAGCGTGCACAAATCATTTAATGGCTGCTGTTGTCCCTATAAGTTACTAAATTCACGACAATTAAAATTAGAATTTTAAATCAAATAATTTTGAAATAATAGTCAGCATCTCAATTATGCTTTTCTTTTTTAAAAAAAAGTATCAAAATCGTGGCAATCGTCACAATCGATAATGGCTAATTTCACTCCCTCTCCATCACTTTGGGTTTTAATTAATGTTGACGTCCATTCAGTCTCATTACCGCCACCTACTGGTTCTACTTTTAAACTTTTAAAAGTCCTTACTTTCCATGGTGTTGTCTCATGTTGCTTTGACATATATGATTTTGGTTTTTAAAACAACACATTATTAACAGCAGGTGTAAAAACTGTAAAGCACAAACAATCGAAAAATGAATTTAGGGGCTGTGTACATTTTAGTTCAGTGTCAGCCACCTGAAGCAGAAGAAGATTTGCATTGACATATATGTGATTGATTTCAAGATTGATTTTAATAAATTATTTAATATTCCTGTTCCTGGTGGGCTCCCCGTGGCCCCACCAATGCTAACAGCTGATGCTAACCTTTCATATAGGTCTAGATCTGAATGGTATTCTGGGTTATAGCGATGATGATCTCCATTCACCTTTCCTACAATAATGGCATATTTAGTGTACTGCCGATGGCAGTAAAGAGATAGCTCAGCTTTTATACTTTCTGACTGGACATATTAGTGAGTAATGTCCTTAAAGAGGATTAGTGGATAAGGAGAGAGGATAGGAGACAGAGAGGGAGAGTGACTGAAAGAGCCGCTGGCAGGGAATGGCAGTGAACAGGCAGGTGATAGCAGAAGGACAGAGAGCTGAGTCTGCCTCTGGTCATGGTCAGGGGATTAGAACCCACTGTGGACTCGGGGCATGGATGATCTCAGTAGTTTTGTTTGTTCAGCAAAAAAAACAACTTTTATGAATTAATAATGATAAATAATAAAAAAAAGTTAATGTAAATTTGTTCAGCAAGGTCAAGGTCAAAAGTGCAAAGAAACAAAATATATTTTCTTACCTCCTGTGCTCAGCAGTTAACCTCACCCTCTCCCACTCCCCACCCCATCTCCCCCCTCATTGCCCACTTTTGAAACATAAACACTAAGGTTGACGTTGATGTTTGAATTGTAATTCCCTGAAACAAAATGTATTGCTAGTAATAGGGTGTTTGGAGGTTTGTGTAAATCTAGCTCTCCAACATTAGCATCATTTTAAATACATTGCTGCCCCCTACTGTTAGATATTTCTTCTCAGGTAAATGGAGTTGGACAGCACAATGAGACAAAGAAGCAAAAGTATTCTTTATTTAATTGTCTGCAGGTGAAAAACGTTCATAATGTGCTTCAGTGCAGTCCACACTTCTACGCTCCCACTATTCTCACTTCCTTATTTCTAAGTCTCTCGACCCGAGGCCTGGTCTTTGGGCAGCTAAGCCGTATGGAGAGTGATTTGATCATGCATTGATGACATTGAGCTAGAATGGGTCACTGCAGACTCTGCTTTAGCCACAGTCTGCTGGAAAGGAGTCAAGTGGAGGGCAAGCACCTGGACTAAGTGACCTTTACCTGGAGAGAGAGAGGGATCAGCAGGGGAAGTTTGTCACGAATCCAGTTTGTTAGGAGTCAGTTTCACAATTTCAGAGATGAGTAAACGAAGCATTTAGCTCAGCATGAAATCCTATCATCGGGACCGGAATGGTATCATCCCTAAACAGTCTCCGTCCATTTCCTTATCCACTTAAACCTGTGTGGGACACACACCAGTGCTTCCTCGTGCTTCCTCAAGTTTCCAAAGTTGGAAAAGTGTGAGACTGGACTCTTCTCCCGAGAGTGTATGTACCAAACGTTGTCCGTGCCAAGACATCCCTTCGACCATCTCTGCACTCAGCTCCACTGGGGATATGAAAGGAGCATTGTGTGCCGCTTCATGCTCCATGGCCAATTGACTTCTTTCCCCGTTCATCAAATGCACTGTTTACCTAATCTTTCATAGCGTTTTTCAAAAACCTTTAAAACCCAGAGGATTATCCTCGTATTTCTGACAGTGTTTCTTTACACGCTAAAGAAGAAAACTCTTTCATCTACTCCAGCCTAATCTCTTACATACATTTGACTTATTTTGCATTTCCAAACCTTTCTTATCTTTCTGGTATAAGAATTCCTGAACGCGGCCAACCTTACCCCACACCAACTAAAGTATTATTGTCTGATTAAAGCA